AAAAGCTGATATCTTCATGATACAAAATCAAAGAAAGACACATGAAAAAAAAGATAGGTTTTTTTCCATGCTGAAAATAGCTGCAAAAGTTCTGAGCAAAATACTGGAAAACAAAATTAATAAAAACATTGTAATAAATATGAATAGAGCTATGAGATAAAAATGGGCTTCAAAAATATTTAAAAAAAAAAACAAACTGAGACCTGGAGATCCTTGATTAAGAGTGCATATTGTTCTCTTAAAAGACCCAAATTCGGGGGTTGGAGAGATGACTCAGTGTTTAAGAGCACTGGTTGCTCTTGCAGAACACCTGGGTTCAGTCCTTAGCATCCACATCATGGCTTAACAACTGTAACTCCAGTTCTAGGGGATCTGACATCCTCTCTGACCTCCACAGGCATTACAGGACACAAGCACTTAATATACACACAGGCAATGCATTCATACACATAAACTAAACATAATAAATTTATAAAAGAAGATCCAAATATGGTTCCTATCACCCACACCGGGTGGCTCAGAACCACCTATAACTACAGCTCCACTATAACTGCCCTCTTCTGGCTTCCAATGGACACTGAACTCACACATGCACATACACACAGACACACACATATATACATAATTAAAAATAAAATAACTATAAAAAAGGCAAACTATTAGGAATGAACTCTTACTGAATGTAGTTGTAGGAATGAAGCAGTCTAAGGGGACTTCTAAAAGCCAATAGCTTTTCAGTCATGTGTACATGAGCCGAAATAAGCTGTAAAGGAGATCTAAAAAATAGAGCTTTGACTAACTGAAACTAATTAATTACACAGTCAAGCAATAGGGGCTCTCAACACCAGACATGTGACTGTTTCATTATAATTACAGTTTTTCTTAAGATGTTCTCAAGGGTAGGCACAATAAATTCCAAGCTATTTTCCTCCTGTGGGATATAGAGAACGTGGAGTGATGAAAGCTGGTTCTTGATTTGACATCTTTTGACCCAAGTCTTCCTGTAAGTAATGGCTTAATTCACTCCTTTTTATCTGGAAAGCTACTAATAGCAAGGAAGAAAAAGCATTTATTTTACAGGCCATCTGAAGAAAGACCACACATTGTGAGACTTGAAGTCTCCCTTTGATCAGGAATTTTAGGTATTTTCCTTGGGTTGCTCCATGTTTTATTTCTTTTTTTTTTTTTTTTTTTCCCCTTGAATTGTCGGACAACAAAGTGCTGTGAACCAAAGCGAATGAACGGGAAGAGTTTATGAGCAAATCTGCAGAATGCTAATTCTTTGTGACTGGGTGCATTGTTGGCACCCCGCTGCTGTGGTCCTTCAAATTTAAGGAAATCTATTTTGACTTCCCTGATTTTATTTTTCAATTCGGAACTGTATTACTATAGGCATGCTAGTGTAAAGAGAGTGCCTGTTTTTCTCCATCTACCTCCCTGAATTCTCAAACTCCTGATATAGTCATTCCTTGTCTAAATATAGTGCCCAGGAATGGAAATAGAGATGCGCTTCTGTCCACTAAACGGTAAAAAAGAAAGAGGAATTTAGCTAATCACAGGGGTATGGGGGAGGGGTGGAGAGCGTGCACCCAGAGGAACAGTTACTCTGAGGGCATAGAGCCTGGTGACGTCGTCCCCACGTGGCGGCTCCGGGCGGTTGCAGTCACCAAGAGAGGGGCCGTCCTCTCTGCCTCCAACCCAAAAGCAGGAAGATCTGTGCTCCTGAGCCAGGGTAAATATTAGAACTGACAGGGAGAGTCGATGTGAAGATGGTGGAGAGGGAGAGATGTGTGAGGTCGGGGGCATCAAAAGATTCAAGGCAGGCTGGCAGTTCTGATTTCTTGTTTAGCAAGAATCCACCAGAGATTTTGCCAGACCTTAAAAGAGAAATTGTCCTATCTACATGATTTGTGCTGAGTCGTGGCAGAAGCTTGAAGCCACTTGTAAGTCTGACCTCTGACCTTCCCTGAGGTCAAGTTGAAAACGTTAGGTTCTTACTAATATTTTGAGTGCACACTTATGAAACAGAATATGGCAATTAGACGTGGCGTTATTGGTTTGTCTGAACTTCCGCTTATTCAGAGCTTCTAGGACAGAAAATGTGAAGTTATGACGGGAACTCAATCCATGCAGTTAACACTGTGGGATTCATAGAAATCATCTTTTGAGAAATGTGAAGATTGAAGTCCTACATCAAAGGTGAACTCTTTAATGTGTTTTCTAAGGCAGTTAACCAACCAGTAGTTATTCACCTTTGAGAAGTCCACTTTTAGATTAGTGTTTGAAAAAAATACTAAGTGATTAAATCACAGTCTGGTTTCAGAAGCAGATTATAGTGCTAATGGTGAGACAAAACCGTCAAGAATTAGTGAATAGTGAAAAGCTGAGTCAAGTTTTAAGTGTGTAGAGTGACAAATAGTATAGAGCATTTTCTAAGGCTGTCCTCACATCCTTTTTTCAAATGCCCTGTTCTCCTGTTTTAGGACAACAGAAACATACACCATGCTCTTCCTACAAATACTCTAGGAGAACCATGCCTTCCTGGCCTTAACCCACCTGAAGAAAGGACCACAGTGCTTTAGTATGTAGCAAGAGAAAATGTCAATTGTGCATGAATGTGGGTTTCAAGATTAAAATAGAAATTTAAGAAACGTATAAAACACTCTTCTTGAATGTACTTTTAGCAAGGATGTTGTTGCTTTCTCTGATGCAACAAAGTTGATTATAATTTGGGAGGACAAAAAAATGGGAGAGAAATTAGTAGTGTAGTGTGGTAACCTGGTCTACTGGACTTTGGAATTATAAGTCATTCAATGCAGACTTCCTAGGTGAGTGAACTGTACGAAATCTTCAGGCGCATGCCTGTGCATTTCAGTGGGCTAGAGCGGAAATACATTATTTTCCTGAAGTGAGCTCAGGACCAGGCCTTGAGTATTGGATTCTTTTCTTTTCTTTTCTTTTCTTTTCTTTTCTTTTCTCTTCTCTTCTCTTCTCTTTTCTTTTCCTTTTCTTTTCTTTTCTTTTCTTTTTTTCTTTTCTTTTCTTTTTTCTTTCTTTCCTTTCTTTCCTTTCTTTCTTTCTTTCTTTCTTTCTTTCTTTCTTTCTTTCTTTCTTTCTTCTTTTTTTTTTTTGTCTTTTTGAGACAGGGTCTTCCTGTTTCCCAGCTGGAACTTATTTTTTAGACCAGGCTGGCCTTGAGCTCACAGAGATTCACCTGCTTCTGACGCCAGAGTGTTAGGATTAAAGGTGTGTGCCACCATACCTGGCTGAGTATTGGATTCTTTTATAGATTCTATGCATGTTTTTTCCTATGACACTAGAAAGGAAAAAAAGTTTAAAACTGTTCTGAAATTATCAAACCACACATTTTTATGGAAAGATTTTATAAGTTCAGTAAAATTGTAGACATTGCATGGGATGAAAATGATATTATATTAATAGTTTCTATTTTTTGCTACACCCATTATAATATATGAATATTGTATTAGTATTATTATGCCTTTTGCTTTCCAAAGCAAAGCTATAAAAATTCACATTTTATATAAGAGAAAAATGGAAACTCAGGGGGATTTCCCAGATCTGATGTTTTCCAAAGACTGTATCTTAACTGAAATTAAGCTATTAGGTAGTTAGGAATAAAAGTAACAAAAAGTTGAGCCATAAGTGTTCAACTAGAAGATAGCTCTAGTTATCTTCTCAGTAATTAGATAGTTTTGGGTGGTTAATATGGAAGTACTAAGCCAAAAAAAAATTAAATTTAGCTAGTTGTGTTGGCATATGCCTTTAATCTCAGGACTCAAGAGGCAGGGACAGACAGAGATCTCTGTGAGATCAAGGCCAACATGGTCTCCATAGTGAGTTCCAGGCCATCTGGGACACAGGGAGACCCTGTCTCAAACAAACAATTAAATTGTTAAGTTAAAAAAGAAATGCTAAGCCAAAACAGCACTGTATAGATTTTAAAGTGACTAAGAACTTAACTGGTTGGTAGGAGGGAAGGCCTGCTGTACTTTCACATGTTAAAAGTTTATATGAGAACTAAACAGTATCAGACAACTGGCAACGAAATTTGAGTCTATCCATATGAAAAATACCATTTCAGTGCTGTGTTGACTGGGATTTACTTGCACAACTAGAATGTGCCAAAAGAGAAGCAGTTGTAATCTACAATTTGTTCAATCTCTTCGCATCTCTTCTTGCCGCAAATAAAGAAAATATGTCATTTTATTACCTAACCAACAATGACTATTCTAACATGAATATTTTATCATGACAATCACTTTCAATGTTTCTAAGAGAAAGAAGATATATTCATTAAAATTTACATTTTCAAAACTGATTAATTAATATTTATAATTATATAAAAACTTTTAAATTAAGAAAGCAAATTGCAGAACCATCACAGACACATATACTAGTGTCATTTTTTACACAAATGAAAATTTATATTCATCTGCAAATGAATAGTATAGTACATTATCATGCTTTTAACTTGTTACAACCAAAATAGAACTATGTTTATTAGAAAAGTAAAAATTTGTGGATATTATATATGCCATATGCTTCTGTATTAATAATTCTTAATCTTTTAATGTATAAGGTCTTGAGTTAAGAATTGTTAAGTAAGGATAGAGGAGCTTATTAAGCTACAGTGCTGACTTTTTTTCCCCCAGTTGAAACCTTTCCTTTTCATATACATTGAATTTGAAGTCATTATTAGTGAGTGATGGTGGGAAGATGGAGATTTTCTGAATGGAGTGATCTTTAATGTCACATAAAAGACCTAGGATTTGCTGACTTAGGTTGTTGAGAAGAAATGGTATGGGTGATGAGCAAGGTGTCTTGAAAAGCAATGAAAATATTATGCCACCTTTGTACCAAATGATGGATTGAGCAAAATTGAATAGACCAGGCTTTGAATGCATTAGCTGTATACAGGGAAATTTCAGAATGATGCAAATATAGGGAATAAAAGAAACAGAGAAGCATCACTTCTAAGGTGTTTGTGCATTTGTGCCTGAATAATTCCAACCCTTAAATCTTGACTCAAATCTAGTGTAGATGAAAGAATCAGCAGTTCTCTTTTTCAGAAAGAATACCAAATTATGTGATGGTATACAGTGAAAACAAGCTGTCCCCCAAATGAGACAAATGATGGATATCAGTACCACAATTAGCTATAACTACCTTTTTGATGAAGAAAGGGCAAGGGAAGTGTGTAGAAAGCAGCTAGTATTTCCTGAGACCTACACATGTAAGTCAAAGGCATCAGACAAGTTCTTCAGCCTGTGCCTTGTCTGTATTAGCAACAAGGTAGCTTCATTGTGACTATACCAGCACCATATGGCAAGTCAACTGTTACATTGTTAGTGTGCTCACAAGCCACAGGTGTTTGGTACAACTGAGATCACTGCATTGGTTTTCCTTCTGAGCCCCATGAACTCATTTCAATGGAGACATTTGCTTGCTTTGATAGTTTCCAACCATGGCTTGGGTTCCAGTGACACTGCTTCTCATTTCTCTGCTACTGTCATCTTTACCCACTGAAGGAAAGGTAAGTGTATGATGGAAAGTCATCTCAGAGCTACTTTACAGCTTTGTGACAGGGCAGGCTACTTTGAAATCACAAGGGTGTCTGATAGGTGATAGCGTTTTCATGGGTGGCCCAGAGCACTGAACAGGTCTAGTGATGCAAAAGACTAAGACTGTTTGCTCCATCATTGGTGGCTCTGAAAGTCATGAGTCATGTGGCTATCGGACTTTGAAGAGGCTAGATGTGCTGTAAATATAAGACAGTTAACAGGCATCAAAGATGTGCCACAAGTACGATAACAACCAAGTGTTAATAATAGTATTTTGCATATTTGGTTAAATAATAGATTCAGAAGATTGTTGTAAAGAATGACCAAAAACTTGGTGGCTGAGCACACCATGGGTAAATTTAAGCTTAGAACTTGTAGAACAATCTCCAATATTGTTCTACACTTAGATTTGACCTCCACACACATAACCATCGAGATAAACTGAAATTTGGAACCATGCCAGTCATATTTCCATTTCTAAACTGATCAAAATGAGCAACGTTCCATTCATCAGATGAATTTGTTTCCCTTGAAGGATGTGAAAGACGTTTAAAAAGTATTTCAAAAGTGTGCATTGAACAACCGTGGCAAATGTGCTACATAATATATGCAGTGGTTTAGCTAGAGTCCTGAATGGGAGCTAGGAATCTGGATTGTACCTGAATATTCACTCTCCAAATGCAGATACTACCTCATGGTAATGTAAAATATATAAGATGAACCATGAGATCTCTAATCCACCAACCCTTACTGCAGCCTGATCAAATGTGATTGGTTAGGTCTTAAACAGCCTATTATGAAAATTTGTGATTATAAAATACCATCTCTTGGGGCTGAGGAGATGGCTCAGTGGTTACGAGCACTGGTTGTTCTTACAGAAGACCCAGCTTTGAATCCCAGCACCTACATGATGGCGAACAATAGTCAGTAACTCCAGTTCCAGGGGATCTGATACCCTCTTCTGTCCTCTGGCAAGGGCACTGTGCCACATTGGTGCACTTTCACACAGGCAGGCATAAAACTCATAAACATAAAATAAAAATAAATAAAAAATTAAAAATATTAACTTCCAATGTTTCATAAAAAAATCATAATGAAATTTGAATTAAACCCCAAATCTAGCATTTGTGGCCCAAGAGCAATTTTTATTTTTCCTTGAATTACTCTCTATTTCTCAGGCCTTCACTTACTCATTCCTATTTAAAGGCAGCAGCTTTGCACTAATTCTTTGACAACACTGCACACCTAATATTTTCTCATGGGACAAACACTAGGTTTTGAAAGTGATTTTTTGTTCTCTTGAAATTATTCACTGTCTGCAATCTTCAAAAATGCTAAAAAATAATTATTTTCTTTCAGGATCCAGCTTTCGCTGCTTTGCTAACCACCCAGACACAAGTGCAAAGAGAAATTGTAAATAAACACAACGAACTTAGGAGAGCAGTCTCTCCCTCAGCCAGCAACATGCTAAAAATGGTAAGAGACAGTGATGGAAATGTGTGAATCAGCTGTGGCAGAAGCAAACAGCTGGCTACTGGAATCTCCAGAGATGATTGTCTACAATGTTTCATTCTCCATTTTGCTATTTAAAATTTTCTGTGCAAAGGACTATATTTCTTAGTTGTTTTTTAAACATGGTTAAATAACTTTTTCAGGTTACAGGGTTTATTAAGTTAGGGAGAATTTGAAACCAATTCTTTGAACATCCAGTGTGGAACTTTTTGTTCATTATTCCTAGTCATACATCAAGATGTTTCCTGTCTGTCAGGATGCTAGCCTTCTTAATGTAAAGAACTTCCCAGGGCATGGTGCTATTTAAACCCATATCTCCTATGTGAAAGCAATAGTCACCAAAGGGAGTTATAGTAACCCAGGGCAACTTAGACTGTTATAATATCATTAGAGTACTTCATATGTTTATCAATATTTAACACCAACCATAAACACCTAGATGGGGCTTTACAGTCAGATACTATGGTATTAGATATCTCCCTTTTAGTTGCATCTCCAATGAACTTCTCTTTTTGTGGAAACTGGCACTAGTGCAGACAGA